GCAGACACAGACAGGAAGGCGGGCAAGTGTAGCTACAATAACCAATACAAAAAAAAAATTAGATGGACTAACACTGTTAAAAAGCGTCTCTGCTGATAGTAGCTCTAATCCCATGAGCAGTTTTGCAATACTCTGCTCGGGGATTACTCCGTACCCACAGGCTAGAGAGCCGGACTGAGGCAGTGAGATCATAAACATAGCATCATATTTCACATGCTGGCTTTTAATTGTTTTCAGGGTAAACACAGGGGATCAAAAGACATGAGGAATAATGATTTATTGATATGATGATAGCGGTAATGCTTTGTTATTGTCCCCCTGCAGTGGAGCTTTTTGGGCAGGGTCTGTCATGCTTTTATCTGTCCTTTTATAACTCAGCATTAGCTAATTGGTCCTGGAGACAGATGAAGATAAATGAGATTGGAAACCTGACAGATAACACATGGGTTGAGCACTCTAAATCATTTTGGAAAGCACACACACAAGTATATTGTGCACCCTATAAGCCGTATTTAATTATGTAAGGTGCCGGACGACATGTTTTTAACCACACGCAAGTACATGCAGGTGCTGGCTCACACCTGGGAGCTGCCCTGCTGACTGCTGACATCTAAGTGCTTCTGTCAGTCAAATACTGAATCAGAGGTGAATGAGAAGACAGTTCTTTATATTTCCTGTTTTGTCCCTGACAGTCTGGCTATTTGAACTATCGGCCCTCTCATCACAGCCTTGGCTCTCTTTGCCATTAAGCCGCTCCCCCCCCTCCTCCTCCTCTTCCTCCTCCATCCCTGTATTATCTTGCATCTTTATCATCTGGTCTGAAAAGACCTAGCACTGCTCGGCCCCCTGGGAACAGGAGCTAAAGGCACAAATGCACTGCGCTGGCTTATGCAGTCCAGCGGAGTCCACTAAGTGCTTTCTCTATCTGACAGATATGGAAAAGACCCAGCCAGACATTATGCTGTCTCATCCTTGTCACTGATGATACGCTGAAACGGAGAAAGACTCAGGTCTAATCCACCTATCCGGGAGTGGACTGTGGGAGAACGTTTCTCATGATTGATGCACTTTGTCAGGATGTGATGAAGTGACTGTTATAATGCACTTTAAGGACTAACAAAGAGCTTGTTGGGAGAAAAGATCTCATAACAAGGTGTCATTGTTTGTGTACCATATGCACTTAGTTGTTTTCGTCTATGCCAGACAGCAGGGGAGGCTATTAGACACACCATGTGCTAAAAACAAGCTGTGGGATTTTCACAGCACTCTTGGACCATCGTCATGATGCAGCAATATCTTTCACAACTTTCTTTCTCTTGAATCCTTCACAGGGTTGGAAACTTTTAAGGATAAAGGAGGCTATGAAGTCTGTGATCTAAGGCTATAAGGTTCTGTCCTGTGGTAATTTAATACAGCTGAAATCAGCATTATCGGCGTCCTGCGGGTAGATCACTGTTGTGAACAAGATTTAGGACAGACACGGATCAATTACCTAGGGAGGCAATTCTAGACATCTTGGAGGGATACTGTTTCAGTCTGTACTGTTCAAATGCCAGACTTTGGTTCTGCCCTCAGTAAGAAAAATCTTTAAAGCTCCAATGTGAAGGATTTAAGGGGATATATTGGCCGATATGGACTATAATGAACAGGTTTTCTTTAGTGTATAATCACCTGAAAATAATAATCTTTGTGTTTTCGTTACCTGAGAATGAGCCGTTAATATCTACATAGGGAGCAGGTGCTTGTCCACGGAGATCACCATGTTGCAACACTATGTTTCTATAGTAGCCCACAACGGGCAAACCAAACACTGGCTATAGATAGCGCCATTCGTGTTTTTGCATGTCCTTTATAGTTAGCAGGCCCTCAGTGACGAGAAGCATCGGAAAAACATTTATTTTTAATGTGAAACTGCTTTATTCAGTGTTTTTATTGGTTTAAATCACAGGGTCTGTGTGTGTTGGAGAGGAAGGGACCTCAGCTCCCAGTTAAAACCTCTTGAACAATGAACACTGCAGGAATTCTATCCAGGAGATGTTTCAGCTGGTTGCAATCTGCAATCCTCACCGGTAGTTGCCACCGAACCCCCTAAAACTTACACACTGCTCCTTTACGTCTTTAAACTCGATATTTTGCTATAATGAACAAGCAAATCAGAGAGAGAAAGTTTGTTACAGACGGGGTGGCTGGGAGTGAATGTCTTTGACAAAGATCAGAACAGACCATAACATGTCTGGTCAAGAGGAAAATGTCCAGTCTGCCCTGCTCAGTGTGATGAGATCTGCACTGTTCCCACCAAGAACATAAGTGACAGAGTGGATTATTTCACTGGTGCGGACACGGCTCAGCAGGAGGCACAGCAATAAAAGACGGCTATTCTGTCTGTTTTTAGGCATCAAAACATAATCTGTGTGTGTTTGTGTGTGTGCACCTACACAAGTTGGAGCTTGTCTGGCACACTTTCACTGAAAGTAGAGCATGTTTTCTTTTTCTAGAAAGCAAGGCCAAACATTGACTAGCCAGTTCGTCGTTTCACATATACTGTAAGCGCAGTCTGCTTGAAAAGAATCATTTTGAGCTTCTGCACTGTTTGTAAATTTTGCAGTGCCTTTTCTGCTAATGCAACTCTTTTAGCTTTGGATGTCTAAGTCATACTTGCGTGGTGAATTCGGTGCCTCAAAGTATTAAAATCTGCATTCAATAATACTCTTGTACTTAACGGATTAACAAAAACAGACATTTTTTTCTTCTTCTTGTTTTTGACCAGCAGCAGCTAACGAAATGAGAGAGGCCTGAGAAGCAGGGAGAGGAAACTAGGCGGCCCTTTTTCTTTTTTTTTAAACATCATCTCATGAATTTTTCAGTGAATTCGTGAATGAAAGTACATGGCTCTAGTTTTGCTAGCCAAGCGAATAGTGAGGCCTGTTCCTTCAGGATTAAAAATAGCAGCATGAGCCGAGCTGTGCTGAGGAGAGTGACGGACTTAGATCTGCATGATGTACCCACAAAAACCACAGCCTCCAGCATCCAATAATAAAACTATATCATCAACAATACCAATACAGGAGTGTAGGACTCCTGTCATTGTGCAGGCTACTTGTTACAGTAGAGCTAATAAAAATATTTTGGTCAGGTTTTGTGCTGTTGATAAACTGTAGGATTCAAGGGCGTATGTTTTGCGTCATCACTGGACACGTATGAAACGGGGGGGTGGGGGTCCTCCACCAGAATATTCTTAACGACAAATACTGAATTTCCTGTGTCCTGGTGAATTCTTATGAACTAATTTGTGCCTTTTCTGCATCAATTGATGGTGTAAATATATGTATTCTGTCAATATAAAAGTCCTCTGCTACTTTTGTGTTTTTATTATGAGGAATATATGCATATATTCTAAATACTGAGGAGGACATGTCCTCTTTATCCCCCCACAAACCTGTTAACCTATGGATTTAATCATTTTTAACCCAGCCAATGGCTATGAAAGCTAGGTAGCCTACTAATCTCTTTATCATCCCTCCACCTCACCATATCAAGAATACAGGTTTTTAGGCTTATACGTGGCAGCTGGTACAACAGGCCATTCAAAGTTCAACAGCCTATTTGTCACTGCATGCTGCATCCTCATCAACCAAACAACTGTGTGTACTACTGGGGAAAACAATAGGTCAAAATTTATGTTTCATAGCTGTCAAAACTCTAACAAAGTCTGAATTAATTTAGTTTTGAAGATGTCTAGTAGTATTCCCTTCAGCATCACAGCTGTGACAGCTGATTTACAAGCATCCTATGGAAGTTGCATCTTTGTTTCTGTGTTTTCAAACCCAGAAGTTTTAACTCAGGCCGTCTGTCGTAACGACAAATCTGTGAAAGATGAACTGCGTGTTTCTCTAGCTGAATCTATCTAAACACCGGTGTGGGTGAGTTAATTCGTGGCAAAATTAAACCCTAATGTGGCTTAAAGACTATAAATTGGTAAACATCGAGACTTAAGTGCGATAACTGCCCGCTTTACCTGTAGATGCAGTTTCCATAGCAACGGGAGGCCTTTTCCCGTCGTCCTGGAAAGGATGAAATTGTTGATCCAGGTCGCCCGCCACCTCGCCGCCTCTCGGCTTAAATTCTTCACGTAGCTCGTCGAAGCGGGTCGATGTGTTCCCAAACAGGCCGTTCCTCTCATAGTCATCCCCAAACCACCTCCCCTCCGAGCCTAGCTCCTCACCGGGCTGAGCGTACATGCTTTTTCCTGTTCTCTGACACAAGATACACAAGCTACAATGCTTCTTCTTCTTCCTCCTCTTCTCTACCGTATGCCGGGGCCGCTACTGTAAATGACAACCTTTTTTTGCTAGGATGTGTGACGGAGACAGAAACACACAAGAGTGCGGCTCCTGGCTGGCGTCTGTCAACTCGAACCTGGGGTTTGTAGACGCCACAGATGAGGCGGTGCGGTCGGTCGGGGAGCAAGAGGAGAGGAGTGAGGTTGATTGTTTTAGTTCACTGCTCCAATGGTGACGTCATGGTGGCCGCGAGGCTCGGGGTTGGCACTTTATTTGGGGCAGAGTCAAATATGAAAGGCGATTTCGGCGTGTAAATTGAGTCAAGTGTTTGACATTGACGGGGTGAATGACGGCAAAATGATGCTTGGTGCGGTGAAACGGGCTACAGTGACTCTACGTCACAGATAAGTCAGTGAAATTAGACTCAAGGCTCAGAGCGAGCAAAATAAAGATAGCGGAGTATCCGGGTCAAAAATACGAACTGAAGATGTTAAAATATATCAGAGTTTCAAGTGTAATGTTTTATAAAAGTGTTACTACACGTAAAGCAAAAAAAAATAAATGTGTGTTTATGGTTTTCTGAAAATGTACCTTGCAGTGTGTCGCCATCTTGTGGTCGCTTTAAAATATGCTCAGGACCGCAAAAGTTTCAACATGGCTCCCTAGCAACCAGACGCTCGTGCCTGGATACACACTGATGACAAACGTTGCTGAATTTAGATGAGCTACAGAGTTTGTTTCGGAGCTGAACTTCGCTGTTATTATGTAACGTTAACTCGTCGTGGAAAATTGTGTTAACAATGTCTGCCATGCAAGGATAAATTTAACAAATGAGTTCATGTCAATACTGGCATTTATTCCACTTAATGGACGTTAGCTAACAGCTCCATTAACTGCGCCTATCGTTAGCTAGCTGGTAAGTTAGCATAACTTTTAGAGGCTAGCGAAATTAGCATGAATGTGTTTGCTTACTGACTAAGTTATTTGTGTCCATACTTTCCGTCTCTGAGTGGTAGCCTAATTATTCTTTATTCTGTAGTCTCCCAATAGTCTTACTAGAATAAACCAGAATACATTAATTATAACTTAATGGAGAATTAACTACTTTTTTAACAGTTAATTTAAAAGCAGCAAAGTTATGATACAGATTGAGAAACTAAAGCACCGAGGTGACGAGGAGGTGGTCAGAGAGCTGGTGAGTATGAAATTCACATTCATTTGGCTAAAATTAAAAATGGTATGGTTTGTAAGTTTATTTCCAGCTTTGATAATATTACTTGTAACAGCTTCCAACAACTGAATTCATGAACTGAAATGTTGCAGTGCAATACAATACACAAAGTAGCCACCTAGTACAATCCAATACAGCTGATATAACATAACATAACATAACATAACATAACAATTTATTAGTCCCACAAAATATGTGCATCATTACAGCAGCCAAGGGGATAGTGCAAAAGAACAAGTACCAGTAAAATACACAAAACAATGTAATAGGTAAACTGTACAAAACACTGCAATATAATAAGTAAAACTTAAAAAATCAAATTATATTAAATAGACAGATGGAATGGCTGAATTGACATTATTGCACATAAGAGGTATGTATTGATACTGTACCTGGATGATGATTGGCTGTGAACAGTTTTATAGAAAGGCAAGATATCACAGTTAGACAGGCTGAATGGCTTATTTCATGTTGTTGCAGGTATGAATTATAGATATTGTAGAGTTTGGTATATACTGATATTGCACATGATTGAAACTGTCCTGCTTTTCTGGTTGTTCTGCCATAACTTTACTTTTGTTATGCATATACTGTTCTTTTTTTTAACACTGTCTGAATTGCATTAGATTGTACAGGTGTACCTAATATAGTAGCCACTGAGTTTATATTTTATTTTATTATTTTCCTTGTCTTAACATTGTTAACCTCCAACTAATGACTTGGTATGAATATTTTTTCTCAACAGTGCTTGGCCAATGGAGTATCCTATGAAAAGATTGCACAAGAAGGAAGCAATGTCAGCTCCCTGGAGATCTTCTTCTCTGGCTTTCCCCGCATGGTTGGGCTTTCCTTCTTCCCAAGGCTCTGTCAGCTTACCATAGTGGGCCAGAATGTAAAACACATTGAGGGACTTGAGTGCTGTCCTGTGCTTCGGGAGCTGTGGGTAGTCCAGTGCCATCTGACAGTAAGTTTGTTATGCTGTTAAGAAGACTAAAAATTATTAGTGGCCCTACTGATAACAAGAACATAGTTTACAATGCCTTGAATCATTACATTACACTATTTTTTACTTAGAGTGATTGCAGCTTATTGTTTTATTGCAGAGGTTCTTAAACATTACACATTGTAATCACATTTTTCCCCTTGGTGGCATCTAATAACAACAAATTTTGCATACACATACAACTATTTGTGGATCACAACCCATAGTTTAAGCAAAACAGCATCCCGTGTAAGTGATTTGTACAACATACTTCATATATATCAAACAATAATGTGTCCCACCTTCTTATTTTGCAGGGAATATCTGGACTACATAATTGTCCACAACTGGAGAAACTCTACCTTTATGATAATCAAATCTGTGAAATAAAGAATTTAGAAATGCAGATTAACCTGGAAGTTTTGTGGCTCAACAACAACTGCATAACTCAGATACAGGTTTGAACTGTAAATTATGAATTAATCTTTCTCTCTGGCTCACTGTCTGCTGCATGATTACCACCAAACATTCTGCAAGCTGTGGTAACCTATGAATTTTTTTTCTGAATTTCTTTTGATTTGACGCAAGAAAATGGTATTTTTTACACATTTTAGCATATCAGTAACTAATTGCTGTGCATGTTATCAAAGTAGCATGCTCTTATTGATGTGGGGTTGTTTTTTCTGAAGGGCTTGAACATGCTGAAAAACCTTAAAGAACTAAACCTTGCTGACAACAATATTGAAAAGATTGGTAGGTTTTTGCATTCCTGTGTATATTCTGTGCCAAGTTTGATTCAGATTCAAGTGAGCTGTTTGAATAACTAAATAATTTCCAAATTCTTTTAAGGGCGTAGCCTTGATCCTAATGTCAGCCTTCAGAATCTTAATCTGTCTGGGAACAAGATCAGCTCCTTTAAGGTAAGATTAAAAACAGAAACATGCTTTTGAAATTTCTCCTCTAAAAAGTTTTCCTACTTATTTGTAAGATCTTATTAAAATCCTTGGTCTGAAAAGGACTATTCCAAATTCTTGTGACATGTCGGGGTCAGTTCAGATTTTCAATCAATTCTACAATGGGCTGGCTGCTCAAGACCTTCAATGAGGTATTGAGCTACACAATTTCAATTTAAGCCATTCGGGATTCAATGATATACATTCATGACGGCATCTTGTTTTAAACATACTCCAAAAGACTACTTAAGATTTTTGTGATACGTGGCTTCGTGTTAGTCAGTAGTACATTTTAGACATTCTGTAGCTGACGCGCTCATTTAGAAAATTTATACTGAGTCATGTTCAAGGTAATTCTGACGGAAACGTTTTGTGGCTCTAGCTTTGATTGGATGATTAACAGCTCGATCATATATATTCCTGCAATCCACCTTTTGTCCCAAGCTAGCTTGGCTCCAAGGAATGCAATTGTTGTCATTCGCTGCACAGAGTGCTTAGTATATTGCAACTACAGCGGAATCAAAGTGACATTTATTTTGAGCTGATGTGTACAAGCATGCAGGAAAGAAAAGAAATGGCAATTTCCAAAAGAAGTATTTGGCTTATTGTGGGATCTGTCTAATATTTGAACTTCAAAGAAGATGGGGGCTACAGACAGTTCCTTAGCACTGAGTACAAATTGAATAATTATTTTTATTTCTTTCAAGAGAAGTTGCCATAATACTGTACATCTGATTTGTATACGTGATGTTGTTTGTGTACAGTATAAACAAGTGTTTTTAGGGCTGAATTTTATAATTGAGAGAAACACTTCACCTGTAAAATGACCATTTGTACGGTATATCACTTACCCACGGCGTGAGTATGAAGTATGAAGAACTTAACCTAACACGTGGTGAGTAATTGATATACAAATGGTCATTTTGCAGTTGAAGAATTCCTTCATTGGGGCGGCAGTAGCTCAGTCCATAGGGACTTGGGTTGGGAACCGGAGGGTCGCCTGTTCAAGTCCGGACCAAAATATGGAGCGTGGACTGGTAGCTGGAGAGGTGCCAGTTCACCTCCTGGCCACTGCCGAGGTGCCCCTGAGCAAGGCACCCAACCCCCCAACTGCCTGTCATGGGCAGCCCCACTCTGACATCTCTCCACTTAGTGCATGTATAAGTCCTGTTTGTGCATGTGTGTGTTCGGACCTGTGTGTTAATGACAACGGAGTGAAAAAATTTAATTTCCCCTCGGGGATTAATAAATTATATAAAATTAAATTAAAATTGAACTAGTCTGTGTATTCTCTTGTTGTTTTAACAGGAGCTGACCATGCTTGCTCATTTACCCCATCTGAGAGAACTCGCACTAAAGGACCCTACATCAACCCCAAACCCAGTGTGTCTGCTGTGTAACTACGCCACACATGTTCTTTACCACATGCCAGGCCTACAGCAACTTGACACATATGACGTTTCGAGCAAGCAAGTCAAGGAGGCAGCTGAGGTATTGAGAAGACCAGCAGGTGACCCTGCGTTACACCGACTGAGCTCACCTGAGTGTCTCTTGAGATGATACTAATTCTCTTGAGTTATGTTGATTGCTAATGATTTGCTTGAAGTCCTAAAAACATTTCCCTTAGTTATCTTAAGAGATATTAGAAAAGCAATTACACTGTAGTTGCTCTTAATTTGGTTGTTCTTCAGTGGAGTTGCAAATCATACGTAAAATGAGTCAAATATCTAAATCCAAGACACAGTTTCTTAATATGTTTCTTAAATTCAAAATTCTAGCTGTCTTATGCATGACGTGCACATTTACTTCACTCAGGAATATATCACCTAAATAATGACCATTTATTACCAGTTAGTCATGTTGTGTTCTCTTGAATTTATGAAGAAAATTTTCATAAATGCCTCCACGGAAAACAGCAAACATTGATTTAATTGATTGGGGACCAGGTTTAACAGCAGAAAAATTATATCAAAACATCAGTTTATCAACTGTCACACAAAAAAACTTTGTATTGAAGTCTGGCTTTGAATAGAGCACAGTTAAGTTTCACTTTCATTTCAGTTTTGAATAGTAAGGGCAGGGCAAAATATGTGTGTCATGCAATATGTTTGTCTTTTTCAATGGAGGGATGCGAAGAAAACTGTTGTTTTTTTCATGAATTCAAGGTAATACAGCATACTTAATTGATATACAAATGGTCATTTTGTGGGTGAAGTATTTCTTAAATCTAGCTTGACAAATTTAGTATCCTTGGAAACCTTGAATAACATAAAATTAGGTTTTGTAGGGTTGAACAAAGTGGGTCAAACTGTGTTAAGTGGCTGCCTGTGTAAAAAGTAGGGCTGCACAATATGAGGAAACTATGTGATAATGTTGAATATAACAATAATGATAGTACTTGCACTAAATAAACGGATATTTAAGTGTGCTCAGGTCTGCCTTTCTGCTGCTTTCAGTACGTTGCTAAATTACAACAAATTAAGAAATGAAAAGAAATTATTTCCAACTTTGTTTAATTAAGCAAATTGAAAATTTAACTGAGCCCAAAAAGAACCATTAAAAAAGAATGATTGATACATTTAAATTGTACCACTGATACTCTCTTTCAACTAACCCAAAAAATCCCTTTGTGCTATATCACAGTTTTTTGTTGTGTTTATAATGTACACAAGGATGACGATTTAAAAAAATGAAGAATGTCTTTTCTGTTTCAGTCGACAGTAATGAAGAAAATGATGTACTACAACATGCGTGTACGGACAGCTCAGAGGAACCTGGCAGAGATCCGGCTCAGTCTGATAGAGAGGAAGAAAACTATGTTAAAGTTACCAGAGGAATGCATCAAAACACTCAATCACGCCCTCAAAAGTGTATGTACATTCCTTGAAACATTTTTTACCTCCGCCAAGGAGGTCATGTTTTCACCGACGGTCTGTTTTTCTGTTTGTTTGCAAAATAACTCAAAAAGTTATGAACGGATTTTGATGAAAGTTTCAGGAAAGGTGGATAGTGGGACAAGGAACAGATGATAAGAATAAGAATTTTGGTGGTGATCGGTTGAAGCAAAGTGGATAAAATAATAAAGTCTATCGTCTGACAGCCTCAGCAGCAATTCCAGTTTCTAAAGACGGTGAAAATAGCGCCAGAAAGCACATCTTGTTCTGCTTGCTAAATATTGTTGTAATTCTAAAGTTGAAATTAATGTTCTGTGTTGGAAAAAAAGAGTGAAAAATACAAAAAAACATATTATATTCTGTGTTGGTACAAAATAAAAACAAAATAAATACACCACAGTGTCTCCACGGTGAAGTCATATAACCTAATAATGATAATGATGCAAATAACCTAATTGTGATGCAGGCTGCAAAATCTGATGCAGGGGGGGGGGGGAATATCACCTACTTGGCGGAGGTCTGCACTCTCTGAGTGCTTTTCTAGTTAAATTTTGTTATTAGCTGTAAGAAGAGAATAGTTGTTAAGCTGGAATCTCCAGCTTTGCGTTGCTGTTATTGGACAAAGTTAAGGAGGCTGTTGTTGTTTTTTTCATATTTGGACGCATTCTTAGCTTGAACGTGAACTGTCCAAGGTGCCACCTAGTTGTAAGAAGTCTGCCTTTGCGTTGGAGGATGGATCAACCCAACTGGTTGAAAGTTCAGCCAACAGAAGTGACTCACCCACTGATGTCAGTCGCGATCCTGCCATGGAGCACAAAATATTCCGCAAGATTGAAGCACTGAGGGACAGACTGGTGCTATGGACGAGGAAGCTGGATGAGTCTGTATATTTTAATAAGATATAAAGAGAATTTACTGTACAACACTTTTTCCCATGTTCAAGCATGTCATTAAAAAAAACATCCTAGTATGAAAAAATAATTTTCTCTCATTTGTATTCAGGATTGAAGCCTGGTATGAGCGGGACTTGATGCAAGCCACAAACACAATGGGATATACCATTCAGTTTCTGTTGATGGAGCTAGAAAGTGTTGGAAATATTCGTTTGGAAGAGGGCTGCTCCACAGACCCTTGGTACGCACTTGGTATTATTAAATGCAATGACAATCATCACAAAATTACAGAGGACACATTACAAGCAGACTTCCGCATAGTTTCTATGTTATGTACCCAACAGGTTTACTTCCTGTTGTGACCTCCTGCAGTCCCGCTTCTCTCAGTCAGACTATAAGGCTTACAGCATCACTGGCATCAAGATCAATAGAGTTATCCGCATCCACAACAGCGCTTTGAGGCTTCGCTTTGAGGACAAACTTCACACCCTTCTAGCCAGTGACGACTCTGCCATCTCTTCACAGTAAGTTAAGCTAAACTGTAGTGAAATGTGATAAGGATTGAGTTTTTACCAAATATCTACCTGCATGTTAAAGGTATACAAGGCAGGAATTGTCGGCTACTGCTGGGAAAAACACGTCATTCAAACTTGGCCCCTCCTCCCCACTCTGCTTGTCCCACAAACAAAAAAAAAAATGCTAGGATGATGAAGACACGACTCACTGCACTCTTCATCTGATTGGCTAGAACTTGTTGCCTTCATTAATCATTAGGTTTAGACAAGAGGAGTGAATTTAGTAAGGGCTAGTGTAAGAATGTCATGCAGGGCAGGTCATGCCTTTGCCATATTTGAAAAAAAAAAAATTGAGTACATTATGCCCACTTATTTTAGGGACTTTACATTTGTTGTAATACAAAACAGCTGATGCTTTAGCAAGATGACGAAGCTAACTGACAACACCTACAGTATCTGTCCAACCATAGACTGCATATAAAGATGGACGACGTGTCTCTGCTTTTTCCCACTGTACAAAAATTAGGCCAGACTTTCCCTGATACAGGCGCTGGTGACATGATTTAGAGCCAGAGTCTGGACAGCAGTGATTTGGAAGTGGAGCCTCGGTATTGAGTTCCCTCACATACACCTGTCTGACCCAATCGTGAGGAGCACCGTTACTGGCACACAAGGCTGTCAATCATTACATCAAACCCCCTTTTATAGCATCAAATAACCAAACTTATAATAAAAATGAACACTGGACAGATGTCAGTGTGATAAGAACTACCTAAATGACAGAAGCAGTCTTTGGGAAAAAAATTTTTAATGTGTACTTTGATTTTTTTAGTTTGGACCATGTCTCATCTGCTAATATGGAGAGGGCGGGGTTTATGACCTATACTGCAGGCAGCTACCATGGGGCAAAAGAGATGTTTTGGCTTCACTTTTGGGAGCTGTCATCTTTATATACAGTGATTATGTCCAATAGAAAACAGGCAAACTCTACGGCGTTCTGCGTTCTCTCCTTTGGTGCTTGTAAAAGTGTAAGCCAACCCCAGTTTCACTGTTGTTTTGTAATAAGCTGTGTCCACTTGGTGTTTCGCCTTACTACTTTTGCATTTTTTGGCGCTGTGTCCGCGATGTTTTTACCTTCCACTTGAATCTGTGCTGCTACTACCTGGTGGCTGCCTTTTTACAAAGTCCCAACCTCACCTGCACTGTAATTGGCTGGGGGTAACATATCACTGCCCAAAGGTTGCAGCCCAGAAACATCCAGAACACAGCAAAATAAGAAGAAAATACTGGCAGAGGGCAGAGTCTCTGCAGAAAAATACACTGCTACACACTTGTAGTTGGTCATAAGTGATTGAGAGGGATCACTTTAGTATGAGTCTATACATTGTTTTGTTTTTTTAGGAAAACTCTGCATAGTATGCCTTTAACCTCACTATTGTCATCATTGTAACAGTAATAGGACTGTCCATCATTATACTTTTTATCTAATTTAAACTTTTCAAGCAGGAATTACAGACGTCGGCTGGATCATTTGTTCTACGTAGCTGACCCTGAAAAGAATGATGAGAAGGAAGAAATTCTCTGCATTTTAGAGGAAGGCTTCAAAACAGCTGAACAATATAAGGTGTGTAAACTTCTGTCCACCTTCACACGACACTCAATCCATCACCCGCAATTTATTCCACTGAGCAATGAGAGGAAAGAAAAAATTCGCCACATTTTAAGTGGATATCCAATCAGTGTTGATGGTACATGCAGTCAGTTAAAGCAATAAATTCCTCAGTACCTTTTTTTGAGTTTGCCTTCTTGCACAGTCATTACTGCAGTGCCTACATGCACCATGATAGCCCCCAAGTTTAGTTTAGTTTATTTAATTTATCAAGGGACAGTGTGCAATAGCATTAATCATTTACAAGAAATGAGGAGATGGTTGCACCAAGCTATGATTTTGTTGGTCAAAACATAGCACTAGGTGACAAAAATGTGACTCGACAGCAACAAAATATTACTAATTAAAACTGCCATGGTGGGACAGTCCACTGTTCCTAAAATCACAAGCTCTGGTTTGGTTGAAATAAACCCTTAATTCACTGAGTCAGATGTGAATGCTGGTTTTACACTCTGTATTTCCCCTACTGTCTCTCAGCTGACGGCAGAGCAGCGGCTCTCAGTCATTCTTTGGAGGCAGAAGCAAAAATAAAATGACAGAAAAAGGCGATATACTCAGTCGTCAAAATATTTTATTACCAGTAGTCCAACTGCAGTCTCCAGCTCACCTCTGTCCAAGTGAGGACCAAAACCTTCATGCATAGTAATGCTCGCACAGGCTCCCTCTAGTTTGTAGTTTGCAATAGCATCCAAAAAAACTGTCCACGCTGAAATTACAGCGCAATGATTCCTCTTCTGTTGGCATCAAAGGCCAATTTGAGCAAAGGCACCACAGACCGCTCAGGTTGTAGGAGTGATACATCTGGAGCACATCCCCTGGACACCCAGAGGTGGAGACTAGGAATATAAGCCACAGTAGCACCACTGTTGTCACTGGTTTGTCGAAGAACAGCAGATTTTGAAGCAGCACAGAGTACTATAAAAAACATGTTTCATGTCACACTATACCCCAGATTTGAATAGATGAAGTAAATGTTGAAAAACAGCGACATTAGATAGTAAATCAATGATTGGTCACCTCACTACTTTACTTGCATATGTAACACATTAAATCAACAATGAATGGTTGCAAAAATGAATTTCTATAAATCTGCTGACTTATTAGGGCGAATGGAGTGAGTAATAGAAGGAAGAAAAGTCAAGTGTGAAACAGTAGCTTATTAAATGCCTTATTTGGGAATGGTTTCCTTACTAAAAATTAGTGCTATGCAACAGAACAGGATCTGTAATTTCTCACCTTGTTCTCACGTAATCTCCAAAGTCATGCTGACTTTTACCATGTTGACTTTGACTTTGAGGCTTTGGACATAGAGAGAGCTATACCTTTATCCAATAGCCTGAGTGTGACTGAGCAGCCCAGAATTGAACACACACTGCGCTGGGCCAGCCAAGGTGATTCCAAGCACAGCACAGACACAATCCCCTTCAGGCACGGTGAGTTAGTTGTGCTCTCAGTATGATAGTACTCTTAACTGTGATTGTTGTTGCCTTTATCTTAGTAACTAAAATGCTTGTGTGTTTTATCTGTAGGTCAGATTATTGTTTCCAAAGTGTTTGTGGGCCACAGCACGCCTATCCGAGAGGGAGAACCGTTGGACAGAAGCAGATATCCCAGAGCCTACTCTGTGTACCGCAATGTGGAAGTCAAGCACAGAACTGCAATAAGTGAAGGTCTGCAGTACATCGAATGAAAACATGAAAACAATTAGTTTTCAGTCAGTATTTGTAAAATCTCACTGTATCTGTGGATTTTTCATTCAGAGAGACCCTGCTCCACCAAAACACACACTGGTCCTGAGTGCAGTCCCCGACGAAGACAGTGGTTTGTGTTTGACCATGAGCTTGTCCTGCCTGAGTACATCATTTCTTTTGAGTACATCACCGGGGTAATTAATTCACTGGCTTTATTATTGTTTAACAACATAGTATGCAATGGTGAAATGTAACTAAGTACATTTATTCAAGTACTATTCTTAAGTACAAATCAAGGTACTCAAGGTAAGCGACTTTATACTTCTACTCTGCAACATCTCAGAGGCAACTGCTGTTCTTTTTACTCCACTACATTTGTCTGACAGCTTTAGTAACCAGTTAAAATCTTTTCAAATCCATTGAAAACCATTTATCTCCAGACATGGTGATTTTGAATATTTGTGACAAACTGAAGGATGAAGTGTTTCTTAACTTCTTAAGCTAAATAAACACTTTAAAAACCTCTTATATCAGCTGGAAAATGCATCGTCACAAGGCTGAAAACAGGGCTGTTTTTTAGACACTGTGAACTTTATAGAGATTCATGGCTCTCACAGGACAGCAATGCGACAAACATATGATGATCTTATAGAATATGATCCATTGATGTAGATTAAACTACCCAACTGTACATAAAGGAGTTAAAATAAACATAACCTTAAACATCTACAGCTGTAAAATGCAAAACAAACATTAACGCAGCAGTAATATTAATCCAAAAACAGATCAAAAGACAGATGCAATAGTAAGATACTGACAGGAAACATTTTACTGCACACTGACTACCTTTACTTTTGATATTTTAGGAACATTCTGCTGACAGTCACATAGTGCAACAATCTAGATACTTGTAGTGGAGTGTTTACACATTTCTTTTAGGATCTGAATACTTCTTCCATCACTGACAGTATCACATGCTATGTCTAAACACTTCCTTTCAATTACATCCTGTTCAAAGGAACCCCGTCTGTCTAAATTTTTTAAACTTTTCTGCAGCAGAATGTTAGATTGTTCCTCGCCAAATTGAACACCCCCATGGTGCTTCAAATCAATGGCTTCTGCCTTGAATAACTCAACAGTCCATTTTAACTAAAGCTTTCAGCAAATCACAATAGTAAAAAAAAAATTGCTCAGTCAAGCTGAGCTCTGATGTGATCAAAATTAAGTAACTTGGCTTTAAATGAAACTCACAGATGATAAAACATTCAGATTTTTGTGTCTCTTTCCTAGCTACATACTTAGTTTACAATTTTTTATTTTGTTATTACTTATTTTCATTTTATTTTTAAACCCATTGCAAGTCAATACGTATGTGCCCATGAAGCAATTCATATGATTTAAACCAGTGATACTCAACTTACAGCCTGCAGGCCAAATCTTGCCTGCAATAGGTTGCCAGGTGGCATGCTGACCATCCTCTAACATACAATGAAAATAAATTGATTCATAGTGGGATTTTTTTTTGTACTTTGAATGTAAATAAATTGCCAGAATGCACGAAAGGCATCAAAATATAGCTTGTTTATTAAGAGAAAAGGTGCCAGGGTAGGATCCCCCAGACCCCTCGACAGAGGTCTGGGCTGCTTATTTATTTATTATTAAAAATGTAAATGTTTGTTTATTAACTGGCCCCCAGTCTCCTGTCTTTTTGCAAAAGTGTGTGCCCCATACAAAGCAAGTTAAGTATCCCTGCCCTAAACCTTCTGATATGTTGTTGCTAGGATGAAGAACAACCACACAGCACAGGCAGAGGTGACGGTCCCTCCAACGATATCATCCTAGACAGGGAGGTCCTCAACATGGAACCTGTGCAGAAGCCACAGCCCAAGCTGTTGAGCTTGGATGACAAAATTCTGCTCAATGTGGCCAGAGCCAATGTCCTCAGTCAAATTACTGCAAGTTTTCTGGGTTTTGAGATGACAATTTAAATTTTGAAACCATCTCATACACTCACAATAATCTTTATTTGTGTTGAACCTCCAGGTGCTGAACCTTCATGGCAACAGTTTGAGTAAAATAAAGGAGATTTCCCATGTCACAGCTCTGCGGCATCTTACCATCAGCTTCAATGAGTTCACACACCTGGATGACATTTCTCACATGGTAAGAGTGACAATAGATAATATTGTTAATGAGGTCAAACTAATCAGTGTGACAACTTTCCTCTGTAATATTGAATGAAATTGGTTAATGGGTTGGCACATCATAACATGTAAGATCTATTGCCTCTGAATCACAGCCCAACCTTGAGTTTTTGGACGCTAGCTATAATCGCCTAGTGACCCTGGAAGGGCTGAAGAGGTTGGGGCAGCTCAAACAGCTAGACCTGCGCTGGAACAAGTTGACCAAGGCCAGGGAGGACACAGCTGTACTGAGAAAACACACACCTGCTCTGCTGAAGCTTGACACCAGATACAACCCCTGGAGCAGGGTGGGTGTTGTTGTCAAGTAAAACCTATTAAGATATGTTCTTCAAAGAACAATGAGGAGGTATACAGTGATGCTGTTTTTGTTCTTTCAGTCTGAAGCAGTAAGAATGACCATACTGGGCCGTCTAATGACCCTCACACACCTGGATGATACGATGGTAACAGAGGAGGAGGCTGCCTATGCTCTTCAGATGGCCACTGGATCCAAAATTAACCAGGTCAAGATCTTTATCGTCAGCTGCTGTTTTTTGTAAACCCAAATGTTGATTTATTGCGTAGTAAAATGCTCCGCTGAAGGATGCGTTACAGTATGTGAACCTGTATATGTCAGCATGTACTGTAAATTAATCAGACCTGTTGACACTCTGCTCACAGGCATCTCTTCTAGCTCACTCATGTACCACCAGTGAGCGTCCCCGCAGTCTCAGCTTGCTGTCAACAGCCCAGCTCCTATGTCTTCTCAGTCCAGCACCCTGGGGCCTCGACCAAGAGCTCAAGCTAGACTGGACTGCACAGGTGAGCTGTGGGCATGTATGTTTCTCCCTAAAGGTGTGCTTTATAAAGGTGCATTTCTTAAGTTGTTGACAATGTGGTTAATGTAAATTAATTATAAAATGTAGTAATTTACACATCTTTTTTATGTGTTTTTGGCCCCTAAATATTGACCAGATCTCTGCCCTAAACCTTGACAACCAGAGGATTTCCAAACTGGTCAGTCTGAATAAGCTAGTCAACCTCCGCTGGGCTTCCTTTAATGATAATGACATTTCCAAAGTGGAGGGTCTTGATGGCTGCTTGAAGCTGGAGGAACTCTCCCTCAACAACAACAGCATAGGCACACTCAGTGGTGAGTCACGCAATCAACTTGACAATGAAGTTGGAACTGCAGCATTAAAGGTGCAGTGTGTAGGATTTCATGGCATCTAGCAGTCAGGTTGCAGAACCCGTCGGCTATCAGTCTGACTACAATTTCTGTTAATAGTTATATTCTGCAGTCATGTATAGCAGGGAAATTTGCATCATTATCATTTTGTAACATACATCATTTTGTGATATACCTGGACACAGGTGGAGATTAATATGAAGCTAAATTGTTGTCAGACAGTAGCCAATGGGTCCATAGATTGCATTTTTGGCCAATGTGTTCTACCTCTTTTGCTCTCCGCACAGACTGTTTACCTGCATGCAACCAAAGCAAACTCATATGCAATTGGTCAAGATTACTTGGACTACAAACTGGACTACAAACGGAAACCAGAACACTTTGGTATTGTCTGTTCTGGGCTACTGTAGAAACATGGTGGTGCAACATGGCAGACTCCGTGGGAGATGACCCGCTCCCTGTGTAGATGTGAAGGGCTCGTTCTAAGCTAACAAAAAAAAACACAACAATTCTTAGTTTCCGGTGATTTTTCACTAATGGAAATATAATTATGCATAGCCTTTTCCATTTCTGCCAACAGATCTCCCTAAATCCCACACACTGCTCCTTCAAGATATTCCTAAAAAAAACATGTTCCTTCATATTCAAGTCCTATACCCTAACATATAGCACAGAAGCCATCAATCTTTCCGTGTCTGATTTCGCTCTGTTTCTTCAGGCCTGTCAAAGCTGCATTGCCTCAATAAACTGAGTGTAGATGGGAATCAGCTGTCTAATCTGGATGCCTCAGTCTTAGATCAGCTGCCCAACCTGTCCTTTCTGTCCGTGGAGAACAACTGTATCAGTTCCCTGCATGGTATCCAGAGAGCCCGCTCCCTTCTTGAGCTCTACATCGGCAACAACCAAATTTCTACGTCGCGGGACATCTACTATCTGAAGGCAAGTGGGAGAGAAATAAGAACAGCAGGTTGTGTGGTTTTCCCACTATTCTTCATATGTTACAGCTCAGATGCCCTTTTTCTTTTCAGGGATTGACAAACCTCATTATTCTGGATCTTTACGGGAATCCTTTAGTGGAGAAACTGGAAAACTATCGGATTTATGTGGTGTTCCACCTACCCTCCTTAAAAGCTCTGGATGGCATTGCAGTGGTTTGTACTGACAACAGCAACCAGTCGAACCTTTCAGATATTGCAGTGATGATGACATACATATATGAAGTGATTTGTATTTGGTGTTGTTTTCCATAGGAGGTAACTGAGTGTGAAAGTGCAAAGGATATGTTTGGAGGAAGACTAACCCCAGACATGGTAGCAGAGAAACTGGGCCACTCAAATTACACAGACATCACCTACCTCACCATACAGTCCTGCTCCATTAGGTAACAGCCCGTCTTTACAGACAGATAAACACAACACACGTCCAGAAATGACTTGAGCATGGTCATAGTGATTTATGCTCTAAGAAAGACAAGGCTGATTAATTTTTTTTGGGGGGGGGGTTCTGCCCACAGGATGGTTGATCTGTCTCCAGCAGACCTGTTCTGTAACCTGCGTAGTGTCAACTTAGACCACAACAACCTCACCTCTTTCTCGGGCCTTATTTACCTGCCCAACATCAAGGTACAAATTACAACTCAACTGAATTTATGTAGCTCCTTTCATGCAAACATGTAACCACATCTTCACATTGCAAAACTAAAATAACATAGACAAAAATATACAATAAAATAAACAACAATAAATAAAGTATTGCTGGTAAAAGGTGAGATCATAGAGAACAGAAAAAAATATGTTTCCAAGTATCATCAGAGCTCATCTCCTGAATGTGCTGTGGGAGATAATTACATAGAAGTGGAGCTCGGTAGGCAAAGGTTCAACCATCTTAGGAGTTCTTATTTAATCAAGGAATTGTTATGTAACCAGCATTACTGGAACGTAAAGGGTGTGATGGAGTATATGCAGGGTGTCTGCAAGTCCTTAAAAAGTCTTAAAATGTCTTAAATTCAAATTTAAAAGTCAGGAAATAGTCTTAAATATAAATTTGGGAGGTCTTGATTGCCACAGACACTTTATGTAATTTAATTTAAATATGCTTTTAATTTATTTTTGTTAAAATGAGTGAAGCTCTTCTGAGTAGAAATCCACAAATCTTTAAACCGGCCGCTGAACCTAACAATGTCTTTTTAGTTTATACTTGAACTTACCTCTTGGCAAAATTCTATTAATCCATATTCTTATATAAAATCTATCTCTGTATACAATCACATATATACTACTTAACTTTTGTACTTGCCTACTTACTTATCTTAAATTTGGTTAAAATATTCTTGAAAAATTTAAGTGTCTGATACCTGATTAAGTGTCTGATACCTGATATGGGTAAATAAGGCTGGAGATGTGTGAGGGAGCCAGTCCACTTAATGTGTTATAGGTAAGGGTTTTGACATCAGCTCTTGCCTGAACCCATAGCCAATGCAGACACATCAGTACTGGTATTATATGATAATTTCCTGAGATATTTTGTAACAATTTCTGTAACAATTGTAGACCTTTTTGTTGCTGTCTTAGGTAGGTCACAGAAAACATCCTTCCATTCTAGATGTTAGGAAGGCACGTACGACGACTTCAGCATCTTATTTTGATGAAACGGGGCTGATTTGGGCTATTACACTGCATTTGAAAAAACGACTGGAATTGCACCGGAGCTATGGACAGATAAACAATTTCCAGTGTCTTCTTTACAGGCTCTGTGTTTGAACTACAACCACATTGAATCCATCCTGCCCAGACAGAAGACTCAGGCTTCTCTGACCAACAGACAGATCCTGTATAGCAAAGTTCATTCCAGTGGTTACGGCCAACAGAGTCCATCCAAAGGCAAAGGGTAACAACAGTTATTATTTCAGTAATTCGTGTATTTTTATATTTTATAATGTTGCCATGTGTCAAATATGAACTTCAACTGAATGTGTAGACTGTGACCATTAGGGGGCAGCACTGACCATCCAATGTAGGAACTGACTCCACAGTTAGATCTGATTTTTGTCACACTTGTTGCCTGTAAACCTTGATAAAAAATCTAGTTGTAAGCACATTTTCAAGATGTTATAATTTGGTACAAAATAAGTTAGATAATATTTTTAAAATTAACTGAATATTTAAATCTTGGTTTATTTTAGGTGTCAGTATTTATTTAATCCCATATTAAAACAAGTCATCCTCCTCCCTCACTACCCTGGATTACTTCTCTATGAGTCTATAGGTTGTTTGATAGGAAAATCCTCCACATATTTAAGCATAGTCAGACATATAGATAGCTCACAGACATACATATACATTTTTAAATTAGGAAAGCATTTACAGGTGTGTATGCAAATTCATAAGTACAGCCTTTTAAATGTTCAAGTGAAACAAGAGAGTGTAACTTTATTTTTTTTGAGCTCATCGCATTTGTATGCAGCCTATTATTCTAACCCATTTTACCCAAGTTCATTGGAACAAGAGGGATAGATAGATAGATAGATAGATAGATAGACATTGTAAGTATTATATTTAAATGTAACCAGAGAGCAGAGGTAGCCAGGCAGTTTCTGCAGCAGAGCCTTATAAATACACAACATATAATGCTGTTACCTTCTCATTGTTAAAGAGGAGAATAACAGCCCCTTCATATAGGATGCCATGGTGAGTTAGAAATGTATATGGCCTGTGATGAATGTGTGTGTGATGAGTATATCATAGGAATAATGATATGATCTTGCAGTCACATTTTCCTTTATAGAAAGCAGTACATAAGTAGTGCTGTGACAGGACATGGTTTTGTTTGTGATCGCCTTTAGGTGGTCTGTGCCTGTGAGGTCTGACCAGTTAAATGAGGCAGTGGGAGGGAGACAGAGATGTTCATTTAACCACAGAGATTGCAAACTGTCATTCTATGACTTTGTTTAAGGGAAACTGGGCCCACTGGCAGCCTGGAGCCACTGATGGGCAGCCTGGAGGTGCTGCATTTGAGTCACAATGGCATCTCCAATATGGCCAATCTGCAGCTCAGCAGGCTCACCAATCTTAAAGCACTCTTCCTCCAAGGTATGTATGGTTGACGTGCTAGCCCTCCCTCACAAAGCCTGTTCAAAGTGCAGTGTATAGAGCCTGTGAAAAGGCAAGCACTGAGAGCAAAGTCTCCCATAGACCACAGGCCAGGTGGAAGATGAGACCTGAAGAAAAGAGCGACTGACTTTCTTTTCAACTGCTTTTGATTGCTTTTGATTGAGTTTTGCTTTGTCAGGGTCATTTGTCCCACAAAGCCACTGTTACTTGTTCATTATTCCTTTTTTGCTTAGAAACCTCATGAAGCTGTCTCTGTAATTTCACTGCCTTTTACACCAGGGGCAACTGACAAAGACCCAACAAATGTTTATGTTGCTTTTAAACGCTGCCTTTTATTATTATCTCTGTCAGGCATAAGTCCGGAGGGGATTGTGCGTTTGATTGTGTGTGTGTGCATGGGTGTGTGTATCCGTCTGTCCGCAGCTAACCTTGCAAACTACTGGACCAAGTAGCCTCATATTTTGTGTGCATATGTATGACTCTATGCTCAAGGATCTCTCCTGGTTGTGGTGATCCATAATGGTTGAAATACCTGTTTTATTGACTGTTATGGAAGAAACAGTCAATAAAACAACTGACTGCTGACTCCTCATTCCTCCTGGTAGTGACCAGTTTTCCGCAGATCAGCTTGGCTAAAAACAACAAGCTTTACCATCTGTTGCAGGCCACATTTTGTCTTTCATTGTGGCTCATAGCTGACATCCACAGAATGTTTGTCTCATTTGGAACTGAAGCATCTGTAGATTAAATCCATACCCGGTATGTTATGATCTGCTAAAGTTAGGGACGATATGAGATGAATCAGTTCTCATTTGTGTTATCTTCATCGCCATCTTGGCTGAAAGGGAGTTGGGAGAAACGATTCCGCCAGACACAGCTCTCCACGGTCCAGCTGCGACCTGGTTTTGCAGCGCCCTCCACATGGCATCATTCTACACCAGGAGCATTTCAGAAGTAGAGCATTTTGCCTGCCCAGTTTTGTTGATTTGGTCATTTTTCCTTGATATTAGTGTTTCTACCGTAAGTAAGCAGGCTACACAGTTTTCTTTTTCTGGTCTGTTTTAATTGTGTAATTGTTGTTATTTCCTACCTTGTTTTGCCGTAGCTGACAGACAAACGTAATACCGCACAAAGTCCAGTTATGCTGCGGCTCCATCAAAATTAGAGGAGGCAGCTGAAATTACAAGAATTGTCTAGAGCAGTGGTTCCCAACTGGTCCAGCCACAGGGTCCAGATTTATCCTTAGTCATTAGTTCAAGGTCCACACAGTTTAATACATTTAGCGTCATACTTGAGTTTGGCCATGTTGTAGAGCTAGTACGCTGTCTCTGTCAATTAGCTGTCTCTTAGTCACTCATTGTACAACAGGAAACTGCACTTTAAAATAAAAGGTCTGTGTCCATACTGTATTTAGAGATAAATTGTGAGTCACCTGTGGTCCATTCAGAATGGATCTGCGTCCCACTGTTGGACCGCGATCCACCAGTTGGGGAAACACTGGTCTCGAGTGATGTGCCTGTGTGGCCGCCTGGTGGAGATCTGCACTCCACTGCTCTAGTCTAGTATTGTTTAAGATTTTCAATTTACTCTCTTAGTTTGTTTACAGAAATATTACTGTTGTTTGAGATGTATTTCCATTGTTTTGATGAGGTGTTCTCCCCCTAGGTAACGAGATCAGCCAGGTTGAAGGATTGGAGGGGCTTCACCAACTCAGAGAGCTTGTGTTAGACAGGAACCGGATCAAAGCTCTGGCCGATAACTCTTTCATAGCACAGAATGTCCTGCTAGAGCTGCACCTAGCAGAGAACCGCATCCGGGAGCTCAACCATCTTGATCCTTTGATTGAGCTCCGCAAGCTCTTTCTTGGCATGAACAAGCTGCAGGTATTCTCCTCCACCAGCAGTCTCCTCACACGCTGGATGTTTTTAATGTTTATATTCAGATTTTTATTAAGCTGCACATTCAGATTTTCACTGAAGCTGCCCTAATGACTCACGATTTCCTGAGGTGACCTTCAAAGTCATGGTAAGCTTTTGTGTATTGTTTTTTTTTTTATCGGCAAATTTTACTGATTGGTTCATATCAAATTTGTGTCCGATGTTTAAGAATGTATTTTATTCAGCGTGCAGCAGTATTACTTTAGCCTACATTTGCAAAGTAAGACATGAAGTATAGTAATCATGAGTCATTACCACCCCACTGTGGCATGCGAGGGCTAGCATTATGGAGAATCAAGTTTGATTGAAGGTCAGGGCCATGTGTATGAAGAAAGGGGGGAACAATCAGGACACCGTGTAATCAGCTTCTCAGTCTGCATCTGCTTCTCACCCAGAGAAAGTGATTTGCACTTTTGTTGCCAGTTCCCTTCACAGCCTTAATGTTTCCATGCATTCAATTAAGACATAATATACAGCAATCATCCCAGCGCAACGGTTCTCAATGTGGGGGCGTCTTTGAATCGCAGCCAAGTGCAACCATAAAGCTGGGAATGAGAGAAAACGCGCCCATGCCCTGTTGTGTGCCCAAACTCTCTCATGAGATTAATGAGAGCTCACACATATAATCTCTCCCATCAGCTGCTTCCATCCTCCCTACACCAAAATTATGAAAGGTTCAGCTCTGAAGCATATTATCAGCACACAGTAGGCGACAACCAGTGGGAAAGAAAAAGTGAAATTAGTGGGTGGTGAATGAGGATTTAATATAATCTTTGTTTCTTTACTTTTTGCAGGACACCACAGAGCTTGACAAACTAGAAGTTCTTCCTTCGCTGACAGAGCTCTCTATTGTTGGGAATCCTGTAAGTGTTACAAGTGTTTGTGCATTATGCAATGTGGAAGAAAAAAATGTTATTCAAGTTTGTTTTCCAGTTATGAGCTTTGCCCAGTGATGTGAATCCACTAGCCGTCAGTCACAGGACACTTTGAACTCTTCACTCACAAACAAATTATCAAAAGCACGCTCACAGGCTCAATTTCTCACTTGCACAATCCAAAACACTATCCCAGTGTAACTCTATGGCCCCAAATTAAGCGATTACATGATGGGCCATCTGCTGTGCCTCAAACTGGTCGGCATCAGAGACAAATCCGTTGACCAAATGGCAGGGCGCTATTGGCCCGGTTACATCACCCATCTGGAGCTCATGGATCAGGCCTGAGCAGAGCCTGCAGCCCAGGGCCTCGCTATCGTCCACAGGGCAATGCTCAGCTGTGGTAGCTGCTATACTGCTGGACTCCATCCCCCTTCTCTTTCCATAGGGGGGGTTAATCCTGCCAGGGGGTAGAGGCCAACAGCCACCCTAGAGACAATACCTCCTGCTGTTGACAGCATGAGATTGCTACCTCACCCATGTTCCCTCACCAAAGTCTGTCTCCTCCTCTCCACTGGACATCCAATGGCACGCATTCACAACTTAAACATAGCAGCAGTGTCCCATAGGAACATTAAAGGGATAGTTTTTTGAAGTGGGGTTGTATAAGGTCATTTATTCATAGTAGATGTTTTACCTACAGTAGGTGACGGCCAGCATGCCCCCAGATTCGAGGGGGCAGCAGCAAAACTACCTAATGAAACAGCCACCTAAAAAAATCAATATCATCCTACATGTATGCTTTAAAGAATATTTTCACCACTTTAATTTGCTGTCAGACAGCCCCTTCTGACAGGGAATTAAAGCCATTATCTATGCTTTGTTCAAAGCCAACAGACTGCTTTGACATTGTCATTTTACATCACACAATAAGGGAGGTGCTGGTCTACCACTGCCTCAGTTCATTAGTTAGTTTGTGTGACTGTGTGAATTTGGTATTTAAAGGCCCAGACACACCAAACAAACATCAAAGAACAAGCAGCGATGAAGGTCATCTGTTGCGTTGTCTCATGTTGTACCTGTAGTAACCAACAGCCAACTAGCATGTCTGTGCCTGCATGAGAGGAAATAACTCTCCATATCAGAAGGCAGCACTAGTCTGTATTCAACATCAAAAAAGGGAAACCAGAAGACAGACAGGAACGATTCAAGGTGTTAGTTAGCCAGTTAGCACATTAATAACACAACCAAATGTTAAAAGAACAAAGGATTTTTTACAGTACTTGAGCAAACAAGAAAATAAACAATAACGAACCATTTATGCTTAAGAGTTCAATGGCTAAAAGAAATAATATGACCTTGTGTAACACTTTGGGTTCTCCTCTTGTGCAATCAGCTAAACTGCCAATCAGAGTGATTTCATTCACCAATGAACTCCACCATCTCTAATGCTGGTTAAACATGCTAAATCAGCCAGAAAAGCTGACAATGGCTGACATGGGCTGACATGGGCCGACTAGTGCTAACGGTGTGGGACACACTACAAAAACTAGGGGGACAGACGCTCATCAATGGTCCAACATCGACCAACAACCGACCATCGTCTTGGTGTGTCAGGGCCCATGAAAGGTGAATTCCAATTCACCAAACTCACACAATAACACAAAAAACCCAAACTATCACTTTAAAGTTCTGTGACTGGACAGGCTGAATTTATTCCCTTGCCACAGGTTGCCCTCAGCTGAGAGCTATCTGCTGCTGTCAGCTGGGTCACTGGAATAGCTGCTGGGAACATGATAACTGTATTGGGACCCACACAGCATCATATTTATCCCAGATGTCCCGGGGCAGGCTTCAATGATGCTCCTCAGTTAAATTTGCTGGACTGAATTTATTACCAGGTTGTTTTATTAAAGAGGTGCTTTCTTTTTTTCTTTTTCCAGGTGGCCAAAAATTCTCAACACAGACCAGCAATAGTGCTCCGTCTGTCTCAGTTACAGGTCCTGGATGGAGTGATGGTCACCCTGGAGGAAAGGACAAGGACTGAGCTCCTCAATGCTGAGACATCAGTGAGAACTGCACACAACATGCGCACTCAGAAACTCTCAACACACATACTCTATATACAGATACAGATCGTAGCTATCATTGAGGACATTAATGTATTTGTAATATTGCAGTACGCAGCTTTTGTTTCCACTGTGTTATTTTGTTAAAATTTGACAACAACACAATAAATAAATTAAGCTTTATCCCCTATAATTTATTACTGTCAAACCCCCTCTCCGCCAACATGGAACAGGTTCTGTTCTGGTTTTTGCACCTAACTTTGAACCATTCAGAGCATTTTGACCAAACATAAATTTGTTCACACCCCTAAAAATCGGTTCTCAGCTGGACCCAAAAATAGCAGGGTTTTTTTTTTAAACTGAAGTGCAAACTGTGGCGACATCAGTGGGCATGTTATGTTCTACTGATTGCAAACAGAGGATTGAGAATTCAACAATGATGAAGTCAAGTGAGAAATAGTCAGAAAAAAATGCAGTGCATACAGTGGTTTTATTATTAGTTTGTCCATGTTTGTTTTTTGGGTGAAAACAAATCTGCACAACACAACAAAAGCTTGCAGGTAATTACTGTGATCCACCATTTTGCTACTACTGTTTCCTTTTGTTGGGCACTGCCCTCCATCGATGAAATATCCATGATTACAATGGTTGTGCTTAAAACTGGTGGAAACATAAACTGGTTCGCTTCAAGAATCCTGATCAGAACTGGTTCAAGTAACTAATTTGGTGGAAAAATGGGAAACAGTGAGGTGAAGGCTTTGAAACACCATTTAGACCTCCAGGTTGGAACATAATAATTGTGCTGGTTAGAGTGTTGGAGTCAGTTTATGACACATTTGTAGGGTTAGGAATAGGGTTAGTTTGCAGAAAAGGGATCTGTCATTTTAACACTCCATCACTGTACTTCCCTCTTTGTATGAACTACATATAAACAAAAACCTTATCTGTGTTGAGAGCTCATAATGGGCCGTATCAGGTAAGATGTAGTCCAGCTGAAAGAATCAAAATGTCAACAACCAAACTGCAGCCACCACCAAAAAAAAAAAAAAAAAAATGAAAAAGCCTGGATCAAACTCTTTCAGTCTGACTGATCTGATGTTCATGTAATGAGAGACCAGGGCAGTAATTCTCCTGCAGCTCTGAATTAAAAGCAGCCTAAGCCTGCTGGCATCATCCTGCTGATTAGATGAAATGTGACCGGCCGATAATGCACCAGTGGATTTACCCCCTATTAGCCAGGTCAACACAACCCCCTCTGCTTGTTAATCGTAGATGTGGAAATGACAGAGCACAGATCCTGAGTTTTCTCATTAAAAACACAAACTCAAACCTCCCCCTATTGACTCTAATAACTGCCATCTCGGTTGTCACTGTCAATTTATTTCTGCGTCTCTGCTTTTGTTTGAATTTGAACATAGTCATTGATGAGTAGTAATTACTGTTCCCCTATAAGATGCTTATATTTGTGGAACAACAAGCAATCTAATCACCCAATCGCTGCCAAGTGTGTAGGTGGAGAGGACACACTGCAGTGACAGCAGTGGCCATAGAGAAAAGAGAAACGCTTAGAGGGTTGCAAATATCAGTAGGTCAGAGACACTGAGTTGGCCCTGGAGTCACACATTATCTGAATATCCGTTTATGTTTTTTTAAAATAATCCTGTCCTGGAGTATCACTTCTATCTTCCTTATTCTCCTTAATATTTTTCTTAATGCCATGCTCACAGTACCCTGGAGCTTCTCTTCCTGCCACTGAAATAAACCTACCTGGACTGCTACCCCTTATGCCTCGAAACACCCCTCTAAGAGGAATGACCATAAGTGGAGGACTGCAGAACTTTGTGCATGGGCACGATATCCTGCCAGGTCACATGGATGAGGCCCAATCTCATTACACATACAAGTGTGAGTGTGAAATTTCTCCTCTTGAAAGTCATTAGTTCCTCAATTGATATGACTTTGTGTAACAACAAGTTTTAGATTGACACAAGCAGTCTGTTCTATAAGTCCTAATACAGTCAAGGATTCATTGTCACTTTCTAGCATACGCTATACCAGAAAACTCTGTGCTAAAGGGATAGTTCAGATTTTTTGGAGTGGGGTTGTGTGGGGTTCTTATCCATAGTCAGTGTGTTAGCTTCAGTAAATGAAGGTCAGCATGACAGTTTGGAGAAGCAGACTGAAGCACCGCCACGGAAGCTCATCAATGCTCTGCTGCAGCAAAATGTATCTTAGCCATCTTTAAAAAATCAATATCAGTAGAATATTTAGAATATTTTCATCACTTAACCTTGCCGCCAGACAGCTCTTTCCAACTGGGAACTGAAGCCGATTCTATGCTCTCTTCAAAGCCACCAGATTTCTGTGACAAAAACAGTATTTTTACCTCACAGAACAGGAGAGATGCTGGTCTATCACTGCTTCGATTACTATGTGAGCCTTTTTTTGGTGGCTTTAACACATTTTGCTGCTGCCCCCATCCACAGCAGCACAATGCTTAGCTTCTGTGGTGGTACTCCTGTCTGCCTTACCAAACTGGGGGCGTGCCAACTGCAATCTATTGTAGGAAATACACTGACTATGGATGAGTACCTCATACAACCCTACTTAAAAAAAAAAAAAAAATATTCCTTTCAGATGACATTCCTTTTTCTGGCTTTCTTACCCACACTTCTTATATTAATTTCCAAATCAGACAAGAAGCACAAGCACGGTAATGCTGTTCGTAGCGGCCAAGCTGACATTACCTTAAGACACATTCGAAGAACAGGAAGCAACCTGCCAGCCCAAGGTCTTCTTCATGATGGGAACAGAGTCATCATCACGTATCCCGGCCAGGAGCAAGACAGCAGGTTGGTAAATCCAAACTTCAAGAGATATGATAATGCTTCTGTAAAGTGGAAACAAACAACCTTTCAACCTCCTCGTGTCATTATTCTATCGCCAGTACATTGTGTGCAATCAACATTTTTTTAGCAATATTTTTATTGCTTTTTAGTGTCCAGATGTTATTACAGACATATGATACAATAAATGTTTACATTTATATAAACTCAAACACACACCCATTTGTTCTTTCTCTTAGTATTTAAGTTCCATTTAAAACATTAAAATCCCAAATCAGTATACAACACATGACATTAATAATGATCTAATTCACTGGTACCTCCTACAAAGAAAAAAAAGGGCTTTCATAGTCAAAGTTTTTCACCTCTGGGATTTCACTGCTTTGTTTTCTTATCCTGCCCTCAGTTCTCCTTCTGTAGAAGGTCGTCTATATCTCCATATTTTATAAAGCCATTAAATTGTTTCCATATTCCCTCGTACATACTTAATTCATTTTTCAAGGTTGATGTTATTCTCTCCAGTGCCACACATTGTGCCATGTTTATGATCCAAGAACCAACTGTAGATGCAGTTATTTTCTTACAGCTTAGAGCTATAGTTTGTTTCGCTTGCAGTATAGCACAGTCAATAAATTTGTATTCTTTAATTCTCAGAGAGGTTGTTGTTGTTGGATATACAGTACAGGCCAAAAGTTTGGACACACCTTCTCATTCAATGCGTTTTCTTTATTTTCATGACTATTTACATTGTAGATTCTCACTGAAGGCATCAAAACTATGAATGAACACATGTGGAGTTATGTACTTAACAAAAAAAGGTGAAATAACTGAAAACATGTTTTATATTCTAGTTTCTTCAAAATAGCCACCCTTTGCTCTGATTACTGCTTTGCACACTCTTGGCATTCTCTCCATGAGCTTCAAGAGGTAGTCACCTGAAATGGTTTTCCAACAGTCTTGAAGGAGTTCCCAGAGGTGTTTAGCACTTGTTGGCCCCTTTGCCTTCACTCTGCGGTCCAGCTCACCCCAAACCATCTTGATTGGGTTCAGGTCCGGTGACTGTGGAGGCCAGGTCATCTGCCGCAGCACTCCATCACTCTCCTTCTTGGTCAAATAGCCCTTACACAGCCTGGAGGTGTGTTTGGGGTCATTGTCCTGTTGAAAAATAAATGATCGTCCAACTAAACGCAAACCGGATGGGATGGCATGTCGCTGCAGGATGCTGTGGTAGCCATGCTGGTTCAGTGTGCCTTCAATTTTGAATAAATCCCCAACAGTGTCACCAGCAAAACACCCCCACACCATCACACCTCCTCCTCCATGCTTCACAGTGGGAACCAGGCATGTGGAATCCATCCGTTCACCTTTTCTGCGTCTCATAAAGACACGGCGGTTGGAACCAAAGATCTCAAATTTGGACTCATCAGACCAAAGCACAGATTTCCACTGGTCTAATGTCCATTCCTTGTGTTTCTTGGCCCAAACAAATCTCTTCTGCTTGTTGCCTCTCCTTAGCAGTGGTTTCCTAGCAGCTATTTGACCATGAAGGCCTGATTCGCACAGTCTCCTCTTAACAGTTGTTCTAGAGATGGGTCTGCTGCTAGAACTCTGTGTGGCATTCATCTGGTCTCTGATCTGAGCTGCTGTTAACTTGCGATTTCTGAGGCTTGTGACTCGGATGAACTTATCCTCAGAAGCAGAGGTGACTCTTGGTCTTCCTTTCCTGGGTCGGTCCTCATGTGTGCCAGTTTTGTTGTAGCGCTTGATGGTTTTTGCGACTCCACTTGGGGACACATTTAAAGTTTTTGCAATTTTCCAGACTGACTGACCTTCATTTCTTAAAGTAATGATGGCCACTCGTTTTTCTTTAGTTAGCTGATTGGTTCTTGCCATAATATGAATTTTAACAGTTGTCCAATAGGGCTGTTGGCTGTGTATTAACCTGACTTCTGCACAACACAACTGATGGTCCCAACCCCATTGATAAAGCAAGAAATTCCACTAATTAACCCTGATAAGGCACACCTGTGAAGTGGAAACCATTTCAGGTGACTACCTCTTGAAGCTCATGGAGAGAATGCCAAGAGTGTGCAAAGCAGTAATCAGAGCAAAGGGTGGCTATTTTGAAGAAACTAGAATATAAAACATGTTTTCAGTTATTTCACCTTTTTTTGTTAAGTACATAACTCCACATGTGTTCATTCATAGTTTTGATGCCTTCAGTGAGAATCTACAATGTAAATAGTCATGAAAATAAAGAAAACGCATTGAATGAGAAGGTGTGTCCAAACTTTTGGCCTGTACTGTATGTGTAGCACTATCCTTTTTTAGTCTAATGAGATAGTGAGACAAAGCAAAAAACTTGTCTATTTCCACTTTAAAATGTGAGAAATCTGTTTAAAAGATGATAAAATACACTTTGACCTTTAAGTATTACTTGTTATCTTCCAGATTTCCTAATGGTGGCAAACCTCCACCCATGTAGCAGCCAGACAAGGTGGTGCATACAGGTGAAAGGTGAAACAAATGTGAACACATGCAACAGCCATGACTGTCTTTAGTCCTATATCAGTATTTTGGGACATCATATCTTGAAGGTGGCATATTTGTAAGCATTCTGTAATGTATATCGGCATCTGGACATATTTGCATATTTAATGAGGAAAAAGTCAGAACATAAAGCAATTCAAGTGCCTTTAGTTTGGTGACATGGCAATAAACAACTTTCTGTAACTGTTAACATATCATTAAATCGCCCTTGCTACTATTAGTTTAAACGAAAATGTTTGGAGTTCAGGAAAATTAGGCTACTTGAAGGTTGCATGTAGTGCATCTCTTTCAAATGGATTCATAATGACTGTGACCTTATTTTTTATCCACATATGTGGATCACTAACCATGGTAATCTGAGGATGAGAGGTTTTGGTGTAATTTCTACTGCTATCCCATCTTTGGCCTCAAACAAGTGGAAAAAAAAAAACACCCACAGATGTAAGGGCGTGTGAGGCTGGCATGCTGCTTCCACGGGGTCAGATGCATCCCCAACAAGTGGATAATCCAGCTTTAGCACACCTCTCTGTGGACAATAATCTGCAGCCACTCAGATAAAGATGTAATCTTGAACAAGGTCCAAATGGATTTTCAGAGATTGTCAGTTTCATCATGTTAGCCTCTTTTCCAAAAGCCCACCGCTGTTTCGACTAATAGGCAAATCTCGTGTGTTGTAACTGGAAACAGTATTAGAGTGACTTGATATTTATGATGTTAGTTCTGATGAACATGAGATTATAATCCTTCCGGACTTGCTGTCAGTTTAGTCTGGTAGTGCTGTAGTTAACACACCAGTCTAAGCTTTAAATGTGGACTATACAGCATATATTATGTGATCTGATACCTTTATATTCTGGGAACTCTAAACTGATCATTGTATGATGAAAAGATTAATGCTGCGTTCACATGGAATCAGGCAAACAATCGACGGATATCATTTTAGGGAATGAGAGCATGTTGGTAAAATTAGGTGAGGCCAGCAGAGACTAGTAGACGGCATTGCCATTCAGAGTTAAAATATTTCACTTTTTGCCTTTCTCCACAACAAAATTTACAACCAGGTGTTATGTAGCTCCTTCACATGAGGCATTTGGGAAAATTTGTGGACATTACTGGAATAATTACGTAAAATAATAAACACACAAAATAATTGTATTAAATATATTTTATTCCAATCTTTGTAAACAATACGACATCACCATCGCAACATATCGACGTGGGGTTTTATTTTTTACCATCCTGCCATTCCATTGGACTGATTGATGGTTTTAAACGTGCCGTCCAGAAAGTATTGTTCATGTGCTGTCTACTGTCTGTCTGATTCCATGTGAATGCTAAGTTAGAAACGACATCAGCCTCCATCAGTTGAACACTGTTGTTATGTTTCTCAACAACTTCTTGTAAAGTTTAATTAGTGTTATTTAAACTCTACTGAACTTTTTTATTATGTGTACTACTTAAAGGTATACTGTACAGGATTTTCCTTGGGAAAAAAACAATGTATAGGGTCACACAAAAGTCATTTCTGTCAGTTATCACTTGTACGATGTATGTACATATTTTCGTATTTTCTTAATATATTTACTGTGTTCAGGATGTTCCTGGACACAGTGGGCAGGTGAGGTCATGACTTCATGGACACAGCGCCAAAGCTATTAAAAACACAAAGATATAGAGGCTGGCTTTCACTTTCACTGGAGATGATGTTGCAAATGGTTACCAACAATTCCTGCATACTATTCCTTTAAAAAAGAGACACATCATACTTCAAAAGGATGGGGCCTGGGTTTGGAAAAAAATATTCCTGAATTAAAGAGTTGATTTATTCAAGAACACCATTTCTTAAGGACATCACTTTAAATCTTTTAAAGCCAGAAGCAGCAACATTTTCTGTCATATTTCCTCCACCAGCCTGAGCTCTGGACTTTATGGCTCAGTGGTGTTAATGTGACCACTAGGTGTCCTTAGAGCTCCATTAGCTCTCTCTCTGCACCACACTGCTAATCAGTCCTTGATGAATTTACCACTTGCCCTGTGGGGAGTAATTTATCAGTTGAAGGCGTATACGTGTGCTTTAGTTTTGTGTTCCCTGCCGCTGAACATTTGTGAGGCAACAGCCAGCTCGAGGCAGCAAAAGTGAAAAGCTCTCCCCCAAACAAGCTCCTCTAATGCATGTACTTAACTTCACTTGATTTGTGTTAATTCCAAGCATTAAGCGGGGCTAATGACTGTGCAAGTGAGTGCACTGTCATTACCTTGCTCTGCCTGACATCAAATGGCAGCTGATGGACTCGCATAAAAAAAAGAAAAGAAAAAACTCTAATGCACAGATTTGGGGGCTCAGTGAGAGCTCTCTAATGCATTAGGTATTGCAAAGGATAATTACACATTTTATATTTGTGTACAGTATGTGCAGTATGGATATGCTAGAAACATGACTGTTTTTAATGCAATTGTATGTCTGTGTGGTTTAAGTTTATCGCGAGCATGCCACTCCATGCAGTATGTCTCTTTTTGCATATCTGTCAGTATTTTTAACATTAAAATGACATTAGCATAAAGATTGTGAATAATTCATCAGTCCTGAGTGAACCCAGATGCACTGCTCTCTCTGTCTATCTCTCTCCCTCCCCGTCGCTCCTCCATGTGAGTAGACCACATGGTTCGTAGCTGGTTTAATGGGATGGAATGTGACAGGTTATGTTTTCATCGGCCTGATATGGAGCCCGGCTCGGGCGGGAGGGAACGAGGGGGAGAAAGGGAGATACAGAGAGAGGGGAAAGTGAGGTGGTCTCTGCAGTTGTAGTCTGGATTCATAATTAGACATGTTTGTGCTTGTTGTGAATCAGTTATAGATGATGCTCTTCCCCCTCATCCCCACCAATACACACACACACACACACACACACACACACACACACACACAGAAACACATGCTCTGTATGGGGCCATTACTTCTGGTCCACTAACTCCCTACATTTGCTGTGTCTGTGCATTCAGAGCACCATTAGTCCAAGACTCTGTGAATAATTGCTGAATGGACCATGTTTTCACCGCTATCTTCTCAGGTTCCAGTGTTGCTTGATGTTGTGGGTGACGTGAGAGAGATGAGGACATTGATTGATGTTTGATGCCGAGGATAACACAGCATCTTGTACAGTGCTTATCGAAGCATTATGCGCAGAGCATGTAATGGATGAACAACATTAAACCCCACGTGCATTACACATTTACCAGCTTGTATTAACTTCAGAAGTGCTTCGATAGAATTACATCAATACCATCACTTGACTTGGAATTGCTGTTGTGAAAATGTTCTCTCTCCACATTTGGCTGCTGATGGCAAACAAATTCAGATAATGAAAATATAAATTATTTTGTTTTCAAAAGGTGCATATTATGCCCCAGAGTTCATTTTTATCCCCACAAATACATCCTCTATTCAAAAACAATCTTGCCATATTGCTTCTCTTGAAATCTGTCATTGAGTTATTGTTGTCGCTTGTCATTTCCCTGTAATTTGTTTCCTGTGAGGCTCCTTAGAATAGAGAGTGAATGGAGAGAGAGAGAGGAAATACAGATAAAAGAATGTAGCAAGAGTGTTCAATTAGAATGAAAAGGAAAATGCTTTTATTTTGTGTAGATATTTTGGATGAGCGCACGCCTCGCATGAGCATTAAATCTTAACTGCTTTTCATTTCTGGACTTGAGTGTGATTTATCACATTATTGGACTTGTGTGTCATTTATCACGTTATTTCAATCACACAAAGCGTGTTGCTTTGTTAAGACGGTGAAAAACAAGGTGCCGATAACCAAACAACAGAAAAACACCCAATTTTCTCGTAAATTTAACGGGAATCAATTTTCAGAGTGCCGCCAGAGGGTCTGCTTTTTGTAAATTGTAGCCAATTTGGTGTTTTTTTATGTCATGATATTTGCATTTGTGTTTCCCTTTAATGACTCCTAAGTCTCAATTCATGTTGATATTCTTCATCAGGCAGCTGTAGCAAAAATGGAGCAATGATTTTAAATAATCAGTGCTGCAGGAGGATTACATACATGTTGTCGTGACTGACGGGCTTTATTGTGTCCTACACAGAACAGAAATTGTTTTTTCAAGATAACAAGGAAACACAACCCCCTGCATGTACACTTAGCCCCTCAGCCGCAGTGAAGAATAACAACAACAACAATTTAATCTCCTCGGCTCCAGATTATTATCTTTCTTTGTGTTGATATTGTGGCCTTTTTTAGTTGATCACTTTATGATCCCTCTTGTTGCCCTCCTTCTCTCTAAGTAAATCAACATTTGGGAGAGGCAGACCACGCTTTACCACAATCACTTTCATTATCTTAAAATAATACAATACTCGTAGGATTTGCTCTTTTTGTATTAAGAAGACAACAATAATTTAGAATGTAATATTAATATTTCTAATCCTATGTCAGTTTTTGGGGTCAACTAAGCGCATTAGATTCAGGAATTAAAGATACTGGCAAGTGAGAGGTTGAAATATTATTTAGGAGAAGGAGGATCAACGAGACCATGGGATGTGTCATTTAATGTAATTGCAAAGAGGGATGGTCATTTCATTGTTCAGTGGAGAGCAACTTGTAATAGTAAAATCCTTTATTATCTATTGAGGGGTATCTGTATTTTTCAGTTGACTTTGTGATGATTTTTCATACAAAACAGTTTCTAATAAAGCTGGTCGTGGGAACAGTTGAATATGATTCCCACTCACAAAAACTGACACACTCTGATGTGCCCTCATTTATATGAGTCTGACAGCACTGCTTTATCTTATACCCATGACATTGACAGTTGTATAGTCATTAATCATCAACCAAAGTCATTCCCACTTGAATGAATCTTTCATTTGATAAGAAAATAAAAATAAAATAAAACCTTTATAGCTTTTTAATGTGTTTTATGGTTATAAACCCAGTGTGTAGTAGTTATTAATTTGGTGCTTTATGAGAATGTTAAGCGATGGTATGAATATCCCCCATTTAAGAATGTGCCATTAATTGATGGGGCATTCAAGCGCCTCTAATATATGAAATATTGACATTTTAGAAGAGCCTCTTCATAATGGATGTTATCAGATGCCTCCAAAAGCTACAAAAAGCTAATGTACAAAACTTCCTTTTTGTTTTACATGTCAACCAACCAAGTTTTGGGCCATTCTGTAATCTCTGCGCGCCATTCACAGGTCATCACTCTCAGGTCTGCTTCCCAGCAAAGCACCACATCTGCACTTTAACAGCAGCAGCAGTAACACGCAGTGGTTTGTATTTAAACACATCTGGAAGATGATCCGTGCACTGTGTGTTCTGATTTACTGGAGCTGCTTAAGAGTTAATACTGAAAATACAGAGAAATATTAGTTTATCTTCGTTTTGACAAAACATGCTCACGAGCACCTGCACATTTGGATGTAAACTGAGGCTACTACTGACTTACAGTCTCATTTCCTAGATGTAAAACACTGAACATGAGCCATTAGTGATTGACAAACACCTATTTGTGTTGTCTTTTGTTTTATTAACGTGTTAGCTGAAGGGGCGGAGTTATGAGGTGAAGGGCGGGCTTATGCAATTTAAGCCAATCGGGGCACGCGCTCTCCTATTCTCTGCACTCCTATTGGTTACAATCTGTCTGTGTATCATGCCGATGTTGCTTGGCTTTCAAGCGGTTAGCTCGCAGCTAACGTTAATGTTGACGATTTCCGCCTGTTTCCCCTCAATACCACCTTTATCGATACATATCACCCAACGCTTACCTGCAGTCGGGCTTTCTGCCGTTAACGGTAAGTTTGTCTCGCGCCAGTGACACCGCAGGTCGCCAACCTGCTGTTATTTACCTGTTAGTGATAGCAAGCTAACGGACAGTCAGGCTGGGATCGCTAGCTAACAATAATAACGTTACAGCTAGCTAACGTAGGGAGATGGGTACAGTCTCGGGGAGGTTCAGAAAGCAGTTTACTTTTCGCTAAATACCTGGTTTGGTTATGTGAGGTGTGACTGCAAATGTCCGGGTGTTAGTTTGAACAGGTTAGCCCACGTTAGCGCATCCACAAGCTACAGCTTCTGTGGTGTGTTTTCATGGCAACTCAGCAGCTGTTGCTCTAGTGTTGTATCCTATTCTGGGCTATACATTATAACCCAGAGGATATTCGGGATTGTTTTGTTATGAAAACACCCACTTGTAACTGAGAGTTACTACAGAAGGAGCTAACAATCTTTTAACATTAACGTAGAGTTTCAGGGATGCTCTGCCAATGTTATCAGATTGGTGGAGAAATAAGCGGGTGCCAGAGGAGCTGGTGCTTTTCAGAATGTTAAAGGGCTTCAACGAGCATGTGTTTTGTTTAGGAGTAGAGCTAGATTAGCTATAAAATGGTGTATTATTGCCCAATAGTGCTCATTACAACTGAACCCGTGTTTGCTGTGACCCCAGTACACTATAGTATGTCAGCTGTAAGAAGTGAGCTCAGAGAAGTTCACACAACTTTTGAAATCATCCAGATACAGGCTGCAAAAATAGCTGACAGTATATGCAGTTTTAAAGTTGTATTATTTACTACTAAGGTTGTACTGTTGTAAGACAATAACACTGATATACTGTATGAGGGCATCACCAGTTTGTTTGGCAATAAATAACCGA